GATGGGATCCATCGAGCATGGAGATTTGACCTTCTTGCTGGATATCTTAGCCCTTCGGATCTCTTACAAGTGACGGCCACCCCAATTGGACCAGACTCATTGGATGACATATGGGCTTGGAGGTTCACGGACAGTGGTGAATTCTCAGTGAAGTCTGCCTATCACATGATACATAACTTGCTTCGGAGGGAACAAAATAGCCAGATGGTTGACACATCGAGTAAAGAAAATGGAAATGGCTATGGAGCCTCTCCCTGCCCCCAAAACTGAAATTCTTTATTTGGAAATGTACCAGAGGAGCCATAGCAACAAAGGAAAATCTCTTCTCTCGGCGTTGCTCGGTGACAAAAGCCTGTCCCATTTGTGCTGAAGCTACAGAATCGATCCATCATGTTTTGTTTGAGTGCCCTCACGCGGCTGCTGGGTGGTTCCAGGGCTGGCCTTCATTGGTGGTCCCCCCCTTATCCATCCCAATGCTTGACTGGCTCTTCGCACTGCAAGACAGGTATCCTCTCCCCACAGTCCATAAGGTTGTCTTCCTGTTATGGCAGACGTGGAAGGCCAGAAACGAGTTTATCTTCAGGAAAAAGTCCCCTTGGCCACCTAGCACCATTGCTAAGGCTGTGACTGAGTCGCAGCAGTGGAATACTTGCCCTGCCAAACCAACAACCTCTCCCCCTCCTATTCAGTTAAACCCATCCCCGAATCATCCTACTCCACCGCCGAGTATTCATCTTTTTGAAATACAGTGTGATGGTTCATTTTTTGAAACCTCACAGCAGGCGGCATATGGCGTTGTGGTAACAAATGTCCATGGACAAGTATGTGACGGGGTAGCTGAATCCCTGCATTGTTTTTCACCAATTGAAGCTGAAGCAAAAGCGCTGTTGAAAGGAACTCTTATGGCAACCAGCCTCCAGGGTCCCTGTCTGGTTCGTTCAGATTGCCTGACCATCATCAATGTTGTGCAAGGACAATTGAGGCCGTGGCCATGGCGGGTTGCTGCATGGATTGGACGCATCATTAAGGCACTTGAAGACCATCCCTGGATCAAGATCTCACACATCAAGAGGGCTCATAACACGAAGGCAAACTGGGTGGCTAGATCTAGAGCAAAAAATGTTCTCCCGTGTCATTGGGTTCAAGTACTTGATGTTATCTCTCACCTGTTGTAATCAGCTGGCTTCAGCAGCAAGGAATGAAAAGCAATACCTTTGGTCAAAAAAAATATCTAAGTTGGTTCCAGGTCCATTCCAATTTCCAAGAAAAGTTGGTCTGAAACTGCAGTATTGGATTAAGAAAAAACAAAGATTTCCGCAAAAAGAAAAATCAAAGAAAAAGAGGTTTTCTGGGGCAGACAAGGAGCAAACAGTACGATTCCCAGTTCAACAGAAGCGTCAGAAACAACAATCCTAATTTCACAAAATGCTCCCTACCGGAAAAATGCATTGAATCGGAGAGACCCAGAAAAGCTCTTGTCGGCTCTGACGAACTGGGAAATGGAGTCGAGCATACTGGAATCGATCGGGGTGGAGATCATCGGAGTAATGTCCCCGGTTTCGATCTGTATGCTTCTGGTGGTTCTGATCGTCTACTCCCTCTCCCCTGCCGCCGATTTAGCGCCGCCGATTCGCTCCGCCGCTAACCTTGTTTACCTGGAGGTACCCACGGACTCCACTACCCAGAAGCTTGAGGGCGCCTTGCTCAATGCCTTGGTTTTCGTCATCATAATTGCCGTCGTCACTTTCCTTCTCCTTCTGCTCTACTACTACAATTGCACCGGCTTCTTGAAGAATTACATGCGGTTTTCCACATTTTTCGTGTTGGGTAGGGTAATCTCAATTCTTTCCCAGCTTTGATTCTCTGCGCGTATTGGTGGGTTTGATCGATTGATTCTAAATCTTGAGTTTGTTCGTTTACTAAATCGCCAGGTAGCATGGGAGGCTCGATTTTCCTGTCAATAATTCAGCATTTCTCGATACCCGTCGATTCAATCACCTGCTTTGTTTTGCTGTTCAATTTCACAATAGTGGGTGTATTATCGGTCTTCTCTAGTGGCATACCAATCTTCTTGAGGCAAGCATATATGGTAGCACTGGGAATATTTGTGGCAGCTTGGTTTACAAAGTTACCTGAATGGACTACCTGGGCGCTGCTAGTAGCATTGGCAGTCTATGATTTGGTTGCAGTTCTGGCACCTGGCGGGCCACTGAAATTGTTGGTCGAGTTGTCCCAAAGCAGGGACGAGGAGCTACCTGCACTGATATATGAAGCACGGCCAACTGTTTCAGCCGATCCACGCAATCAAGTCCGGAGCATGGAGCTTCTGTTTGGTACAGCTTTGCAGTCTGGGTCCGTGGAGATGCAACCCATCTCTGGGGACCACATAGGTACCAGGGAAGGTGGTGAGCACAATGTTCATCCTGAACTTATTGAAGCGCAGTCCATGAATTCAAGCAATTCGGAAGATCATCTGCAAGATAGAGATGAAGTTGAGAGGTCTCCACTGGTGGGTGGTGGTTTAGGGAGAAGGCAATCTTCAGGCAGTAGTGGATCAGAGTATTCGGTAGTTGTTGGCAGTCGTGAGCCCCCCGAGATCGTTGTAGTTGCAGATGAAGAAAGGTCTCCTCTGGTTGACTCTCGAAGACATGGAAATGCGAACGAGAGAGCAGTGAGAAGGATGGATGATGATGATGATGATGATTCGGACTCTGTGTTAGCAAGTAGCGGGATTAAGCTGGGTCTAGGAGACTTCATTTTCTACAGTGTCCTTGTTGGTAGGGCTGCAATGTATGATCTAATGACAGTGTATGCATGCTACCTTGCTATTATTTCAGGGCTTGGCTGCACTCTCATTTTGTTGTCGGTCTGCCGTCAAGCACTGCCAGCTCTCCCGATTTCAATAGCATTGGGAGTCGTCTTTTACTTCTTGACGCGGTTATTAATGGAACCTTTTGTTGTCGGGACAGCAACGAACCTATTGATGTTCTGAGAGACAAGTAAGAAGATGATCTGTTTGGTTATTCCACTCGCCAAGCCTGCACCAGTGCTGTTAGGTATGTCTTTTGGTGGCATTTCTTTTGCTGATATAACTCTTCAAAGAAAACTAACTTGCACCATCTCTCGATCTTTCATATCATAAGGATTTCTCACAGCTTAAGAACTCGACTGTAATGCAAGTACCAGGAGAGCCAGGTTTAGCCGTTTAGGTATACAGATATTGAACCCTCTTCCTGCTATAGTATCTGTAGTAGTAAACTAGCTATCGCCACATTTGGCATTTCTTTTGTTTGAACCTTGGAGTCTTCAGAAGCAGAAGCAGATGATTGTGGTTATCAAATGGCTCGCTCAGTTCGTTGAATTATCTGGTTAAGAGACCATTTTCAGGGTCTGGAATGAGTGTGTAGGAGAGGAGACTGATGTGTAGTATGGATATGTAGGGATTTACATTTGTCCCCTGTTTAACTGCAGAACAGCAGACCCTATTATTACATGAAAGTATAATCCTGTGGTAGCTTCTTATTTTACAAAAAGATTATGTGTGTGCTCAACATGACTCAGATTCCTGATCTTAAGATTATGAACCGATCTCATTGCTGTCACGACGACCAAGACTGTGAGCCACAATGCGGAATTAGGATGCATTCGCATTTTTGGTGAGTATCCAGTCCTACTGCTGAGAATCAATGGGTTCTGGTTTCTGCACTGTTGTAACTTGTAAGCAGTTACGAGCAGTAGTTGAATTATTAATGGGTTTGCCACCTTGCACTATTAGATCAGCTGGGTTTTCGAGTAGCGTACCTGCAAAGCACCAGAAGAACCTTTAGATGCTCGAGAATCTACATGGCCCGGAACCTGTCCTTTGAGACTGTACCATGGACTCATTTTTGCTTAAATATTGTGTGTCCTGGTCTGCCATAATATGTGCCAACTGCTAAGTATGCTTGACAGAGACACAGAGTTAGTCATACCCCAGCTTTGCATGTCTGGAAACCAAATCGCATGGGGTAATTTGGATGAAGGTTTTTAGTGCGACCGGTGAGATTTTAGTCCAAACTCTTAGACAATATACAATGAGTGCTAAAAATTCGAGCCAAAGTATCAAATTTGGTACTCAATAAAGTGTGGGTGCTAAAAATTCGAGCCAAAATGTCAAATTTGGTACTCAATAAAGTGTTGTTGCTTCAATGGAGTAGAGCCAAACGTCAAAGTGCTATATTTGTGATTTTTTTATTACTTAGTTAATTGTTCATTTGATTGTTTTATTCATCCAAATTTGCAATTATTTTTATATAAGCAGTTATAATTAATTAAAATAAAGATTTTGATGTCATTTTTTTAGTTTTGATATATTTTTTTGTCGATAAATATGATGTCATCAATGACAAAAATACAGTGGTTGGTGTCAATTATCATATATTTATCACATGTTTGTCTGAATGAGTTGTCATCAATTGTTCATCCAACTTTAATCACTGTGAGTTGTGTCATCAAATGTTTATCTAACTTTAAACATAAATGAGTTTTTCCATCAACAATGCATCCAGTTTTAACTAACCAACTTTAATTACATGATTGCAGAAGGAATCTTTTCATGTCTCTATAAACGAAGCCTTCACTTGGACATTCTCCTCATCCCACCATTCAACCTCCTTCTTCACATTATCTCAACTTCACAATTCTTTTTACACACCAACAACTCCTTCTATATCATGAGTTCCCCTGGTAGAGAAGCTGATGACAGAGAATGGGAAGATAAGAAAGAAGTTGGTGGTTCACGAGTTGAGGGAAGTTTTTTCAATTGTCTGCCATCAAACTGTCATCACCACCACCATCCATTCTTTGCAACCCTTGTGTGGGGCCTCTTGTTCGGTAACCAGAAGAAGCAGAAAGGCAGTGGTAGTGGCGGAGGTCATGCATTGTTAGTGGTGTCTTCATAGCCATACATCCCCGATTACAAGCTGGCTTTCGAGTGAACCAATTCAAAATTTGAAAATCATCGTCTTTGTTCTCAAAGCGGGAATATGAAATTGCGGTCGTCGTTCTCAAACCACAGGCCACTAAAATCATATCTATCTTTGGAGATCTGAATCAGATCAGTCATCGGAGATTTGAATCAGTTCTGTCACCATTGATGCATAACCTCCAAACCCAGATTCGATGCAAACCCTTCAGATCCAGGCAACATTTGGGACCGATCGCGATGGCGACAAATCTACAAGTGAGAGGCCCAATATTGGATGTAGGAGAGGGAGCATATCTAAGCATATGAGGAAGAAAGGAAATAACTGGCTAGTGATGGTGACGATTCGTTGGTGATGGGCGATTACCGACGGGTGAGGAGGAAGAGTGACAACGAATGATCTGGTGAAATTGCCAAGTGGATTTGTTGGCTAGGAGGAAGAATGGCAGTGGGATGAACTGGAGGACGGACGAGGGGCTAGGATTTGAAAAAAAAAGGAAAAATGAGAGATTTATAAATAGCTTATGGGATCTACAATTCAAAAACCCACATTTGAGAGTATTTAAAATTCCTAGTTACAAAAATCCCCATCCTTACAAATGCAAAATTATTCTAAAATATGGCTCAATGAGAGATTGCGATGAAATCCCTCATTGAAAAACCTCATCCAAATGGGTTGCTAAGAAATTTTAATCATGAGAAAGTTGAAAATTCTGACCTTCTTCTGGTTAGAAGGCCATGAAAAACTGCTAACGAATAGTGAGTGTCGTCGACGCCATATCACTAATTCAGCAGCATGCCCGGTCTGCGGTGGAGATGACGAAACGATGCTACATGTGCTCCGGGTCTGCCCATTTGCACGGTCTGTGTGGGCAGAGATCCTTCAAGACGAACCAGGGGCAACCTTCTATCAGGATGACATGAACAGGTGGATCCTTCAGTACCTTGCAAGTCGAAGCACTGAAATACATCCGACGAGGGTTGCCGTGATGTGCTTGGCGTTGTGGTAAAAACGTTGTAAGCATGTATTTGAAAAGGCATTGGACACTCCCCACATTATATGTAATAGTATGGTAACCATCCAGCAACAGATACTTGATGCATCGTCGAAGTTGGCCCCCGTATTTGAGTGTAATAAGTTGCCCAGCAAAGAGCTTATCGCATGGAAACCCCCGGACGCGGAATGGGTTTGTTTGAATTCGGATGGTTCGGCTGTAATGGGAAATGCAGCAGATGATGGAGTTCTACGTAGTCATGACGACAGGCTAATTAAAGCTTTCACCCGGAACCTTTCTGAGGGATCTATTACTAGAGTCGATCTCTCTGGCGTTGAGTATGGATTGCGGCTAGCCTGGGAGCTAGGAATTCGACAACTGAAAGTTCAGACTGACTCCATTGATGCGACTAAGTTAATAGAATCGGCAGATGACAAGTACCCACCAGCAGCGCTGATCAATGGGATCCGAAACTGGGTAGTAGAGATAGCCCATATTTTTAGAGAAGGTAATGTAGTAGCAGATTACTTGGCCTCGTTGGGTCATGGTCTTCCCGTGGGGGACCACTCGATCGAGTTCACTTGTCCGATGTTAAACTATTGGTTGTACTTTGATGTGATTGGGGTTCAGACCCCTAGATTGGTTAATAATATATAAAGGCTGGAGTACCCTTTAGCTCTCCGTCTCACACAAAAAAAACTAAATGATGAGGAGGAAATCATCAATATTACCACAGCTGCATCATCCAACTTCCAACCACCAGTTGGAGACAATACAATTAATCCACCATTCCTCATTAAATCTTACTCATACCATTTCTCCTTATCTTCTGTAGACTTCATGTGCTTCAGAAAGACAACCCATGCTACTCCATTTCGTTTACAATGTTTGTTGTTCTTTCCTTTGTATATATAGAGTAGTAACTATTATGTAAAACTTAAGCTTTCTATCAATAAACACATAAGAAATTTAACATGGTATCAGAGCTAGCAAAATAATAGAGGAGCAGAGCAAGAATCGACACTTCCTGAGAAGAGGACGGTTGTTGGGAAGGGGATTTTCCTCATGGATTTGGTCGACTGAATAAATAAGAACTGAAGAGCAATGGTATGAGTGAGGTTTAATGAGGAATGGTGGATTAATTGTATTGTCTCCAGCTGGTGGTTGGAAGTTGGATGATGCAGGTGTGGTAATATTGATGATTTCCTACCGCATGGGATTTCTAGAGTAGTATGGGTATTTTGTTGCACTTGTCTGGTACATATGAATAAAAGGTGATGGTATGGTGGATCTTTGTGAAAGCTTTAGTTATCAGCATTGATGATTTCCTTCACTCCCCCTCACAATTGGCGATTTATCAGTCCATATTAAAACATGATTTTGCATAACAAAAATGTAAGTCTTCTAGATTAGAGAAAATACAAGAACATAATATAACAATATAACCTTCACATACTCACCGTAAATGCCCATGGCATGAACCAATAATCACTTCTTTGGCAGCCACGATATGCTTGTGTTAACCTAGTGGAAACAAGATTAATCACCTAGAGGATTAATCATCAGAAATGTACCTAAACATTATTTCTTTAAAATTGATAAGAGAAATATAAATACTCACTCCGGACTATAGATGGTTTGCATTACCTAAACTAGTGACGATTCCACCGCTCGCTCGACCCAGCCCACTCAAAGATCATCCCATGTGCCACAACCCAACTCCCGCCATCGAGATAACGAGTAGTTGGGTACAGGTCAAGCTTGTCGTTGTAGGATAGTGGTCTTTGTTGAGTCTTGATATTTGTTGAACGAGTCAATCTTTGTTTGCTGTAGTTTTTTGTCAATAAGGTCTCCCACCTTTAGTGGAGGAAGAGGGTAGCTAGACGTGGGAAGTAGTTCCACTTTGTTAGGATTTTCAGTTTGAAACTTTGATGTATTTGAACGGAAAGAAGGAGAATAACAGGCAAGCATTATTGAGTCAATAGGAACTTCTAGCCAAGAAAGTAGAGCACTGGGCCACTGGCCGACTTCCGCCAAGAAAAGGAAGCTATCCAACATTACAACTTCGACCCTTACCAACTAGCAAACTCTTCTTGTGTAACATGAGAAGTGTCAAACTCAACCAACCTAGTACTACATAATCTCAGAAGATAGTCATGTGTATATTAAAATTGTGATAAAAGGATATTTAATCCGTTATATAAGGATATTTAATCCGTTATATAAGGAAAATCCAGACTCTACCTTTAAGTATTTCTTAGAGATTTCTTTGTGAATAAAAATATCCAGTGATTCTCGGTATAATCTAGTAGTATATGCACAATATCGTCATCTACGATCTTTAAAAAAATTTATAGTTACTAACAATCAAATTGTGAATACAAACATATGCAAATTTAGATGAAAAAATCACCATTGCACACTATTAGCCATCATACATTTTTTTTCTAGTTTCTCCGCCTTTCTTAGGACCTGTATGTCCTCCTCAAGATTTTGCCGGTGATGGTTCTGGACGGACAAAAGGGGACAAGAGTTGTGGACCGGTTTTAAGAGTTTTAGGATTTCGAAGTCATATCATTTTATTCTCTCTTATTTGAGCATTGGGATATGCACTCATGAGTGCCTCAAATGAATCCGATTCAACTTCAACCTACAACATTGGAAAACATCATTACAACTAGATAAAGTAAATACTTCATAATATGTTAATTAAACACCTTAACAGTCTTACATCTTGTTCTGCATTTCTCTTCTTTAGTTTTTTAGATGGGCTCTCTTTATTAGATGTCACGAACCCTAGTTTTCCCTTAAAGACAAAACAATTGCATTCACAAAAAAAAAAAAAAAGATTTGCTACACTCTTATAATGATGTCTTCGCCAAAGGTAACACAGTCGAGCTGGCCGGGAGTGTGGTCTTTCGGATTTGAGATGTGTGAGATCTCAGGTTCGAACCCCGCTACACCACTTCATGTTTCCGGAGACACCGCGAGTGCTGGAGACGAAGTCTCCCCTCAATATCGGGTGCGAGGCCTTGAAAATGTTGTTGATGCAGGTACTCTCCAGGTTTAGTAGACCCCGCTGCCACAAAGTGGCACGTGGGGTTGATGTTCCTGGATAATAAAAAAATAATGATGTCTTCAAATATGAAAGATAATTACATTTTCTTTTTCTTCAATTATGATAATTTTATAGGTGAGTTTGCATCATTTGAAAGCTCCACCATATCCACTTACATCTTCAGATTATTCAACTTATCATATATGATTAGTTGACATTTGAAGTAAAATTGTCTTCATTTCCTTTGTTTACAATGCTCCTGCACTTTTCAAATGTGACAGCTTCCCCCACTGTCTTCTTATTAATAACTTTATCAAAAGCTGGACTCTTTGAAGTGGATTCATTCAATTTATGGCTCTTTAACGGGTATAGAATCATGGTCTCTTATTTTGTTTCCAACTCCCTGTGGCAGTTGACTTTGAATGAAAGAATTTTTGTCATTACTTGTGAGATTGAAGATGAGATTTCCTCCTTAAAAGCGCATAATTTTGACCTAGCGAACTCTGATTTTTTTTATCTGATTTTTAAGTTCAATAATCTCTGCTCTAACATCCTGGTTGAAAAATGAACAAAATGGCTAAGATGAAAATTACATAAATAAACAGCATATGAAAATCCAAGCTCAATTGTATAACAGCTTGCAGGATCTCTTCCAAATTCCACCTACATAAAGAGATATATCCAATGTAAAAAATCAATGCATGATAATAGATCTTATTCAACAATAAAAAAAAAAACTTATTGGCCTAGTACTTACCTGGATGCTATCATATCCATCTAATCGATAAACATTTTTAACAACCTTCAAAATGGAGTTGTCATCCCAAACTCGTATGAGCAGTAATGAACTTGAGTCACGAGCAAAGTTATGCAATTGCACATGGTCCAGGTAAAATATCAACATGAAATGTAGCATTAATTCATATTCTATCAATAATATCTATATATTTTGATTGCTACATTAAAGTTAAACAAACAAATTGGTATTTACCTCCAGTAATAACATGCATCCTGTCACAGATTGAATAACTACTTTAAGGTGATGATAGAATATGAATTAATGGATTATAAAATGGTGTCACATATTCAGTGAAAGGAATAACTAAATGGATTATAAGAATTTATATATTTTATAATTTATTTTCACGTTATCCATAGTTGTTGGGCCAACAGCTTGAATAACTACTAACTAAATGAGCATGTACTGCACAAAATTCGCTTCAGTAAATGCGAAAAATTAGGAAGTTAGTTAGGTAAAATTGATATAAGAATATATAATTTTTATCATTTATTTTCCACATCATCCAAAATAGTTGGTGCCCATTGCAGCCGGGAACGGCGACGACCCTTTTCCCTTCCTTTTATAAGCTTTTCCCTTCTGTTAACCGCAACAAACCAACAGAATCAGAGTGTACCAAAGAGCGTAGTTTGGAAAGCGACGTAACAACCAGCCAGAAAGGAAGTAATCGCCATTTCCCCTCTCTTCTTCTTCTTCCTCTGCTCTCTCTGCTTCAGAAGATAAAAATTCTTCGGCGGGAAGCCGATTCAGAGAAGTTCTTGCTACCATGCTGACTACCGTTGTTCCCATTCACGCGCCGCTGGTGCTCTTGACCTCCCCGACCTCCTCCAGAAGCATTCACAAGCTCTCCACTGTCACCGCTTTTTGGAGAATGTACGAATACAACGACAATTTTCTCTTCTCTTTTTCTGTTTCTTTGCTCGGTTCTTTCTGTTCTTTCTCTTCTCTCTGGGGATTGGGTGAAAAATTAGAGACCGCCATTGATTCGATTTTTTTCCTTTCTTTCTTGGGAAGTCCCTGATTCTGTTCTTGTTTGGATATCTTCCGTCCGAGTTTCAGGTCGATGAATTCTGGGTCTTTCCAGACCAAGAAGAGGGAAGAGCTTTCGTTACCCATACAACACCCTGCAGCTTTTGATCCAAAAGGGGACGACACGCCCAAACTGCCTGATCTGCGCTTTGACCGCCTGCAGATACCAGAGCAGGATTTGGTGGACGTTGACAAGATGGAGTTCAGACAATTCTTTGCTAGAGAGGCTTTAATTGCTTTAATACTGGGTAAAGCGCTCTTTCTAATTCTATCCATCGTTTCCCTGTTGATTCCCCGTCTAGGTTTTGCTGCAATTGGGGTTCCTTCATCTGGGTACTGTTTGTTTTCTGGAAAATAAAACCTTGAGAATCATCTTGTTATCCATCGCGCTTCTATTGCTGCAATTGGGGTTCCTTCATCAGGGTTTTGTTTGTTTTCTGGAAAATAAAACCTTGAGAATCATCTTATTATCCTTCGCACTTCTTGTTTCGATTCTTGGCCACACTATCATGATGTGATCGTGGTCCATTGCAGTTAATCTGATGCTGAGCAATGACTCCAATGTTTGCTTCTTGTGATTGCCTGCAGGTGGTAGTCTTCATGCGAGCTTATAGCCACTTGGAGAATCGAGATAAATACAGGTACGGTAAAATCCATCCAAGCTGCCTTTTACTAATTCCCAATTTCTGTATTGTTATTGTCCTCTTCTTTGATTCTTGTTCATGTCGTTCTTGTCCACTTGTTGGTTCAAATTGATCGCCTTTCACTTGAAAACTTGATTGTAGTGCGTTTGGAATTGAGTGGTTCATTTTTAAGGTTAAGACCAGTAATCAGACCCTAATGATTTTGGCCTATATCTGATGAACACAGATATGCTCATAATCTGAAGATGAAATATGCGAATGGGTAGCATTTGTGGACTTTTCTTTACTCTTCTTCAGTTGGCTTCTTCTGGTATAAACAAGGATTCCACTGAATTATCTATTTACTGGCTCTATTTCCTTAATTGGTGGCAGGAGTTCCTTGACATTAGAAGGCGATCCATTGGTCCTTTTGGCCAACAGTTTAAGTGCATAATCACAGTACGTGCTTCCTTCGTCTTGAGTTGTATGTCTTTGCATAGCAGCATGAGGGAAAATCATTAAAAAGTCATCCTCGTTGTTTCTTTTCTTAGCTGAGAAAGCAAGGAGGGATGGTGAAACCCACAATACTGAGGAGTGTGGTTGGGACTTTGGACTTGAGCATCCGCTGGTTGCTGCCTGGAGAGATCTTCCCTGGGTATATGGAAAGGCTCCTCACTTGGGCAACATCCACAGAGGAGGGGAAGACATATATGGTTACGTCTCCAACTTGGTGGTCGCGGAGTTTGCTCGTCGTCGTGGGATAGCAACTAACATGATGCAGTTTGCAATTGAAACGACCAAGTCTAATGGTAGGTTTTAAAATCACAGGCTATAAACTTAGAAATGGCTCGTTATTACAGTTTGTGCGACTTAATTTGTGAATACTGTTGATTCTGGTGGCAGGTGTGGAACTTCTGTATGTTCACGTGGATAGAAACAATAGACCTGCACTACAACTTTATGAGAAGATGGGATTTGAGGTTAGTCCAGTAGCGAACCATTTATCAGTTGCTGCCTAGTTACTCAGCTTGGTTCTCGTTTGTTTGTTTGTCCGTCTTTCTGACTTCGATTATATGTCTTCCAGATGATTGAAGAGGCAAGTGAAGGACGGGTGGAAGACAACACTTACCTCCTACGAAGCATTTTGTAAAGATGAATACAGATTTTGAGATACAGGAAAGGAGTTTAGTGTACAGAGCAGAGAAACAGCACTGCATAGGCCAGAGTTTATTACTAGTTTTGCAAGGAATTTGATATGATAATATTTGTAGGCTTAGATTTGGCAATTCAGCACCAACCTCCACACAAACATTTCTTGAGAGGGAAGCATACCAATACCATGTATAGATCTATTATAGTTTCAGAACAGTACTTTGTACATAAAGCTGATGTTCATTACTTGCTACCAGTGACTACTTCAGGTTTAATACAAATACATGGTGTCTCATTCGATTCAATCATAAACTGCAGCATTTGCTATTTGTAAAGCAAAAGGAGGTTACTTGCACCCTTCAAAATTGGAGATTTACTTCCCACCTTTGAGACAAACAGGAGGGTATTTACATGCAGTGATCATTAAAACAGGGTATTAGCACCTTCCCCAAAATGGCTTCTTACTTCTTAGGACCTGCTTAATCCCAGAGTAAATAAATAAACATCTTACTGCTCACTAACTAGGTTCAAAACAAGTCGATCCTCGATATCTAACAGAAGTTCAAATTACATGGAGGAGAGCACTGATGTATAATGCGCTGGGAAGGCCTGTGCATCTCTGACATTTGCAGTGCTGGAGACATCTTCATCCCAATGATTTCCACTACTGGATTCGAGTGACCACTTAGTAGCACATCTGTCAGTTGTTCCAGAACAAAAACACAATCACCCATGTGGGGTGTTTCAAATGACATGGAAAAAAACAGTATGTCTGATTTTTTGTTTTATACATCTGTTTACCTTATCACACCCAAAGATCTTGAGCACCTTCAGTGACAAGCAGCTATCCACAATCAACCCAACCGCCTCGTTTGCCAAATTCCGACACCATGATAGATCCAAACTCTGCAAATTTCTTTCTCGTCTAGCAACTGATAGTGGAGTATTGTGGCTAACCTGATAACAAACATAGAAGACAGATAAAGAAGATAAGCAATGGATATGATTGCTTTTTTGCACTGGGCTTTCTGCCAAGACCTACTAATAGCGGTGTGCGAGAGCCTTCCTCTTCCATCAAGAGTTGAAAAAAAAAGGATTGTGTTGAGTCAAACCATCATGAGTTAAACAGGAAAAAAGAAAATTCATGAAACATTGAGTTAGATACAATTCTATTTATGTGAATCCTCAATACCATATGTCATCATCATCAGAATATTCTTCGATAAACTCTCACCTGCTTGACATTATTCAGTGAAAGATCTTTCAACGACTCCCTAGAGGCTTCTATGAATGTTGCAATAGCTTCATCATTGTTCAAAAAGAACAAGAGAAAGGGAGCATTGGAAAGAAATCACTGAGTTTCAGTAAGCCAAAAAAAAAAAGGAACCGAAAGAAGGGAAGTTCCCAAAAAATACCAATGCCCCTGAAAACTATCAATAACTTTCCGAGACTAAAAGATTCTCAAATCGTGACATAATCTACCAGAAATTGTTGCGACAAAGTTTCAAAGTTTGAATTTTTTTGACACCCATTTGCAAGATATCCCAGTGCAGAATTAGTCAACTGCCTCAGATTTGAAAGGTTGAGTGAGTGCAGGCGAGGACATGCTGTAACTATGGCTTTCAAGGAAGAATCAGTCAATTTTCTGCAGCATACGTCCAACAGTCAGCATAAAAAACAAGAGAAAGTATGAAAACTGGAGGGGAGACAGATTAATTTTCAGGGGAAAAAAGATGCATACACACAGTCAGAATAAACAAGCTCCTTCGTCGCATGGCCACACACAGCAACAAAGCACGTAATGAAGTCATCAGAGACAGTCTCAATACCTCCCACTGATAGAACTTCCAAGATTTTCAAACTTCAGCAATGCAGGTAACATAAGCATAGCATCAATGTTTTGGGCAGTCATTAAGGTACAGTTCTTGCAAAGTGGAACCCAATGAGTCCCCCAAAATGCTTATACTAGTTGCCGAAACAAGGGAGCATTGGCTAAGATTCGAGCATCTTAGTGAATGAGCAGCAGAAACAAGTGATCTAAGTCCACCATCTGAAAGGCCATAAGCACCATTCAGGGATAAAGTATTTAATACAGGCATGCTGCCTAGAGACACAGTTAAGGTAGAACGTAAAACATAATCAGGTATGCCTCGCCCAGAATAGTCAAGTTGAAGAACCTGATAAGAAGACAAAACACAAGTCTACTTCAAAAGAAGTGTACTCGTTGATAATAAAGAAAACAATGAGATTGGGGCATTACCATACTATGTGCAAAGAATAACAATTGAAACATTGGCCAATCTTCAACCTTCTGCTCTCCCTCAGTGGATTGCTCAGCTACTTCAACACCAGGAGGAGCCTCCTAACACTCTTGAGCTTCGAAATGAGCAAATCGAGCAGAGCATTCTTTCATGCTGCGTCCTTGAATTGGGCCATTCGAGAACCAGCTTCGGTCTTCTTCGACAGAGCGTCCTTTGTCCGTTCTTTCAATCTCTCTTGCTCTTCTCTGCTAGCCTTTCCCGTGGAAGGCTGACTAGGGTTTCGCCTTCATTCACGCTCGTCGATAATCAAGGTTCCTGCAACTCGTAGTTCCCCATTTCTCACATCTAAGTCTCATTGTTTTTCAAAGTTGGCATCTTGGCTGCAAAAATTTTCTTGCCCACTTTCCTTGGAGCAATAATTTCCATGGTCGGCATTTGCAATTGGCTGAGTTTTACTATGAGGATTAGCTAATCAGTGTTTATGTTCCATGCGTTTCTGGTTGGAACAGTGGTCTAACTAGAATAATGGTTTTGGGATAGCTTGTTTATGTAGAATTCATGCTATGATATGCCAGTAGAAAATTAGTTATGGACTGGACTATGGATGGGTAGGGTATCACGAATGGTACGGATATCCGTAATAATACCTAAACGAGTAATCCACAGTTATTCATTATATATATACATTTTTATTTCAAATTTCATTAAAAAAACAAGAAAAAAATAAATATACCCAAATACCCGTTTACCACACCTATCTTCGCCATGTTAAGGCCGCGGAGGAGCAGACCCATTTCTAAAACAAAGCATGGGGAAACTCGCGCCCAAAACTTGGTGCGCCTCTCAAATCATATTTCAAAAAATATGCCAACGTTTATAGTTGTGACCACAACGACGTCGTTCGACGCTCTGGAGGTGTAATCGCTCCAGCGTGCGGTGTCTCTGGCCTTCCAAGTTCCAGGCTCCGCGTTTCCTCGTAGATTTGTCCTTCCCACCCCTTCCGTGCCTTCGGTTCGAACTTCGAACCCTACCCCCTTCGGCGTTTGTTCTTCTTCCTCCTCCTTCGCAATGAAGCTCGTCAGGTCAGCTTCTCTTCCCTTCCTCGCAACTCTGCTCTCTTCGCCTCCTTGTGGTTTCCTTTGATATTGTTTTCTAATGCTCAATACTCCGCTTGGCTGCAGGTTTTTGATGAAGCTGAACAACGAGACTGTTTCAATTGAGCTAAAGAACGGGACCGTTGTCCATGGCACCATTATAGGTTCCCCCTCTCCTTTCCTCAAATCATCTCATGCTATTTATGCGGTTGGGCAGGGTTTTTTTTTGCTAAACCCTAGTTTTTTTACTTATTTGTGAAGACTTTCATTTCCGGATAATTAAGTTTCAGTTTCGGCTTTACTAAGTTGTTCCGTGACAGAATGATTGAACCGTATTTGTGAGAGCAAATAATAATGTTATTGTAGTACTAATTTTGCAACCATTTCGCCGAGGGATTTGGTTCTGGTGTGGAAGTGTGGTGTAGGTGATAGGCTCTTCGTTTTCAGTTAAGCGGCTCTGCCTATGGATGCTTGTTAAGGATGGGTTTTCTTTTCTTTTTTTGGGTTTTCCCAGCTGATGCCTTACTGAGTCACTCGAATTTTAAGTCGTCTTAATTGTTCTACGGTTGAAACTAGATTTAGCTCGAATGAGATTTCGATCATCTGACTTAATCTGCGGTCACAAGTTACTATTACTAGTCTATTTGCAAACAATAAATGGTTATTTTGAGCTTTAATGACTGTAAATATGTACTTTATCCACCTCATTGTACCAAACTATTGCTGAGGCCCGGAGATGTCACTGTTAAGTTGCTAGATCTCGTAGTAACGTATGAGCGTGCTTCTTCTACATATTTTCTTGTGCCAAGAGATGCTTAAAAGATTTCCATGAGTCGAGTTGAGTTCCTTTGGACCTTCGTCTCTAAAAGAAGCGAATTCAAAATTGAATTTTCCATCTAGCCATCTCGATCTTTTACAGCACTGGTATATTGGACAGGTGGGCTGCAAGCGTATCCTGCTGGGCTAGATGTCTGATGGCATGTTTCCTTTCTTCTGTCCTGGTGGTATAGACCTGTGGTTGGGGATATTCTTTTGCCTGTTCCTTTTCTTGTTTTCCTCGTTTCATTTTTCCTTTGTGATATTGCACGGGATTTAAGTACATTTCGTGGTTAGTATTGAATTATTCATAAAAAAGATGATGCTTCATGAGCTATCTGTTGTCTGCTTGCTTGATAAACTTATATTTTCATCCATCTGCTATCGTTCTTTGTTCTTCCCCTTCGCTGTGAATCCCCCTCCCCCCCCCCCCCCCCCCCCCCCAAGTTGATGCGAAGGAATTGTTCGTTGCATTTGAAATTGACTGGGTTGTATATTTCTTTAATTGCATGTTGTTGCAGTTGACATCCTCCAAAAACTTAATGATGCATTAGTGTGCAACTATTTTTTTCGTTAGTGTATATTGTATCAGAACAGTGAAACAAGACATGTGAAATCTACTGCCGCAGTATTGCATTTGTTCATATACTTTTAAAGCCCGTGCATTGGAGTTGGAGATCGCAAAGCTTTGGTGCAATCGAGTTTCTTTCTGTTATACATGAGATTCACTTCTCTAGTTATAGATTGCATAACTTTGTTGTTAACTCTGCTGAACTGCCTTCATTTACGCAGTTCTTTTCCACTTCTCTAGTTGCTTAATGTTTCAAGGAGAACGTTCGTTATTTTCCCTTTTGTCTCTTCTTATATCACTATGACCTGAGCACCTGACATAAGCTGCACTCCTGTGAGTTATCATTTGTTGTGCATCCATGCCTGAGTATGGTGTTCCTTGTACCTGTTGGCTAGAGCACAACATTTCTTAGGTTCCTAATAACCTATTGTCTTTCTGCCCATTCAATGTTTCCTCGCATTTGCTTTATATGCTCTGCAAGTATGCATCCGAGTTTGTTGATTTGCTTTAAAGAGAGATTGCATGGGTTATACTTACATAGATTATTGATACATGCAGCTCTATAGTTAATATATAATTAAATTAATTTGATTTGCCAACAACAGGTGTGGACATCAGCATGAATACTCACCTGAAAACCGTGAAGCTAACACTGAAAGGGAAAAATCCAGTCACTCTGGACCATCTCAGTGTTCGTGGCAACAATATCCGGTATTACATTCTTCCTGACAGCTTGAATCTTGAGACATTGCTGGTCGAAGAGGCACCTAGAGTCAAACCTAAGAAGGCAACTGCTGGTATGATCACAATCTCCCTGGTCTTGCTAGAATGCTATTGATCAGAATAATTTTGTTTACCTAAATCTGATTGTTGGATGCTTTGCACAATGCAGGAAGGGCTTTGGCTCGTGGTCGAGGTCGCGGCCGTGGTCGTGGACGTGGTCGGGGGCGATAATCGAGTTGCGGTTGGGTGGAATGTTTTTGCGTTTGGTGTAAACAATTTCTGTTGTAACTGGAATTTGTGTAGCCAATTACTTGTGGGTAAGTGAGGTGTAGCTGCTGTTTATGTTTGAAACTCCATTTGTTTAAAGCATATTCCGACAGGGAGTGTTGTGGTTCTGGATTTGAGTAATTTTGTTGCTCTTAGGAGTGGGAACATACCGGAGAAAGCTATATACTTGTCTTACCTGCTTGATGAACTGTCCAGTTCGATCTATGTTGCAATTTGGTGTCAATTGGCTGAGCATCATATTTCTATGTTCACTATAGTGTAATAACTATGGATGCAAGGGGAACGGATGTTCGATCTATGTTGCAATTTGGTGTCAATTGGCTGACCATCATATTTCCATGCTCACTATAATATTGTGTAATAACTATGGATGCAAGGAACGGATCAGGTCAAAAAATTTCCCCTTCATAATCTTCTTTGACGAACGATTTTCTACTCGTTTTAAGTCGAAATTTAATTTTTTTTTACACAGTTAGATTAATTGTGCTTTTCAAAATGATATCCACTTTGATATATTTTTCAAACAAAATAAATTGAGTCATTTTTTACCAGTCTATACCATATGGTATTGATTGGTGTTAAAATAAGAGCATACCTATGGTTTGAAAAGCGTACCATGGTGGTATGAACAAACTAAGACTGTATGATGGTTGAATACATGATAGTAGAAGTATATTAACCGTCAATTACGACTTTTAACATTGTGTACCACAAGATACCACCCCGTACCAGGGTGGTATTGTATGATATTTTTTGGTCCTGTAATTTGTTTACCCAGAAATTTGTAGATCCAATAGATCATGATGAACTCGTCCCTTTGGGCAAACGTTTTCAAAAACGAATTAAAAACGAAGAAGATACTACATGATATGTCGTTGGTACCGAGATGTCAGAATTTTTTTTCTCTAAAAAAATATTGAAAATTGATCTCATTTTATAGAGTACAATGAACTCGTTTCATGTGCAAAAAAAATTAAAATCCGAGTTAAAACGAAAAAGATATGAGCCGATTAAGAAAGTTAGGGAAAAGAAAAAGAACATTTAATTCTCCATCCTTAGATCTGAATTTTCTAAATAAAGGGTCCAAATTTGGTTATTAATTGTTGCATACCCATGGTTATGCACCCTATCTTGAGCCAAATGTAAGTCTATTGTTCCACAGTTGGGGATGGATGTAGAATTAGGAATTTGTGGAAATTCCACCGTCCGAAAAAAAGAATAAAGAAAAAAGATAAAGGGAGAGAAGGAAGATAGCTATATACTCCTTCCCCAGTGATGGCAATGGGTAGGGGAGGGGCGGGTACCTCAATACCCATGCTCCGTCCCGCGCTAGTATGGGTCGGGCGGATAATACTTGCGCGGGTACGGGACGGGGCTGGTCGACCCACTTTTATATGCTATTTGAGAAAAATACACACTAAATTTTACTTTTAATGATAAAACGAAAGGGAAAAGACTTTATGAATGAATAATAGTGATAATATAATGGGTAACTGAGTCTATTTAGTTGAAAGATCAAGCCTAACTAGTTGAAGAAATGCCAAAATAGGAGATATATGAATGGATGGAGCAAGAAATTGACCTAGAACGGGTCAAGAATGGGGCGGGCCGTTTCAAGGCAGGTCGAAAGTTGATACCCATGCCCCGCCCCACACTACTGCGGGTCGGGTAATACCCGCCCCATCGCGGGTCGGGTAATACCCGCCCCATCGCGGGTCGGGTAATACCCGCCCCATAGCGGGTCAGGTCGGGTAATACCCGGCGGGACGGGTTCAAATTGCCATCCCTATCCTTACCACTCAACCGCCACATCTTCTTCCTCCAGCCGGTGATCCAATCCCGACATGTTAGGATGACGATGATGACGGTGGTCTTGCAGCCTACGCCGAGCTGCAGCCTTTCCTGTTTGATTGGTTTCGACATAATTCTCCAAATTGATTGCTAGTTCAACGCCGGAAAAGAGACTTCGTGTTTTGTTTTTTTATCAATTCGTTAATTGATTTCGTATTCGATAATCGGTTGTTCGATTGATGCATATGGATGGATTAAATCCATTTTGACTACATTGTCTATTATGAAATCCAATCAATTCAGAATTAGAAAGTTAGGGTTCATTTAATGGATCGATCCCAATCAAATTCTCTAGGTTTGGGTTGCTGGAAAACCCATCTTTTCCTCCTCTCTAACGCGTGTTTAAGGTTTGAGATAAAAAGTGGTTGAATTACATCATATTCGTACATGTACTAAACTATTTCTTTATATTTTTATTCATAACTAGTTTTATCTTGTTGTAGCTTTTGGAGAAATAGTTTATGACTGAAGCTTTTAGAAAAGTACTTTTCACAAAATGCAGTTAAGTGTTGCGGAGGTTATGTGTCCAAGTGAGGAGTGTTGGGATGATCACAAATTATGTCAATGGTTTGATCCGCCTACCTGTGCGGCCATTAAAGCTATCCCGCTTTCTAGGCAGAATGTAGCGGATAGGTTAATCTGGCATGGTACGGCAGATGGGGTCTTCACGGTCAATCAGCTTACCATTTAGCGGTTGACATTGATAGGAGGAGGGGTGGTTGGCGGTCAACGGTTGATTGGATGGATAAGGAGTCCTGGGTTCGGTTGTGGGATGCTAACATCCCTCCGAAGCTCAAAGTCTTTGTCTGGCAAATCCTCAATCGAATTTTGCCTACCATTGAGGCCCTTATTGAAAAACATGTTCCTGTGCACCCCAGATGTCCGGTTTGTTGGGCTGGTGCTGAAACAATGGAGCATTTGTTCTTGGACTGTCCGGTGGCTCGTGCCCTTTCGGATTATTCTGGCTTGGGGTATCGGGGGAGGGGCTTCCTCGACATACCTTCCCTATGTTCCTGAAAAGACTAATGTCTCTCATTCACCAACCTACTCTGTTCATGGCTGTGGTGGCTGTCCTTTGGCGGATATGGCGTTCGCGAAACTGGGTTGTCTTTGAAGGCAAGTAGTTTGGGTTTCATGCCTTGATGCGTCAGTTCAATCAACAGTATGAGGAATGGGTCCGATTGCCGATGGATAGGATCCCCAGGGCTGTACCCACTGCGGTTGATCCCTCTGGGGCACCTCCACTAGGTGTTGATGGGGGAGGGAGTGTTGTTTGCATGTGGGATGGGGCGGTGAGAAGGGGTTCGCATTCGGCTGGCAGGTTGGTTCTTCTGACTCCAGCGAGAGATGTTTGGCTGGTAAGAGGAGTTCAATTTCCTTGCATGGATGACCCTATGGTGGTGGAGCTACTTGCCCTCCGGGAGGCTGTTTTGTGGTGCTTGTCGGTTGGCCTCTCCGAAGTCAAGTTTGAAGGCGATGCTAAGGTTTTCATTGATAAAATCAATCAGGCGGATGCCAGGGATAACCGAGTTGGAGCTGTTCTGGAGGAACTTCTGCAATATTTTAATAGCTATACTGGGTTTAGTGTTCGATTTGTAGGTCGACGTAGTAATAGGGTAGCCCATATGGTGGCTCGTAAAGCCCTCTCGTTGTACCCGACTATGAATCGTTTCTTTGATTTTCAGGCCTGACTGAATTCCAGTATGTAGCTACCTATTTTTTGATCAATATCAAATTATCTTTTGTAAAAAAAAAAGTTTGGATGAAAAACTATTAGAAATGCTTTTTAATATAAGAGGTTATCTAAAATGATTATAAAGGATTTATAATATAAAATATGAATAAAAATTCTAAACAATAAAAGTAATTATTATGGATATTTATTTTATATTAAATAATATAATTTTAAAATTTAATTGATTTTTTAGATGATATAAATAAAATAAAATAATATTTTTTGAAATAAAATTAAAATAAGGTAACTATCTCAAATTCTCAATTTCCTCTACGTACTCTCGTTTCGTTTCAAGCGAAAGAAACGGAGGTTTTGCTTTTCCAGCCTTCTCCTAGTCCAAGTCTTGTTGGAGTTTGACTTGACCGTCCAAAAAAACCCTAGCCTAGTATAAATTCACGCTTTTACTCGTCTGTTATTTTGTTTCCTCCTAAATTCAATTTTACGGCAGCAGCTGGACCGTAGTAATTCTTAAGCTTCGCGTCCGAATTCCGCAGCCGGGGCCAAAAGAGGAAGAAAACAGAGCAAGCGGAAGCAGGGAGGATGAAGCAGGCCGTGAAGCAAGCTGCGGTGGTGTTTGGGTCACTGGCCTTGGGATGGCTGGCCATTGAGATTGCTTTCAAGCCTTTCCTCGACAAGGCTCGTGCCGCCATCGCCAAGTCTGACCCTGAACACGACCCAGACGACGATGAGAAGCTGGACTCCTCCTCCTCCTCCGCCGCCGCTGCTAAAACAGAGTCTCCTGCCGATGGTGTCTCCTCCGACGTCACGCCGGCAGCCGCCACCGAAACAGCAACCGTGTAAATCCATTTAGAGCTTTACCCATACGAGTTGCGTGCGTAGCTTTAATTTTATCAGTTTGTGTCAGTTGAATAAACATACGCGAGTCGACAAAAGGATTTTGAGGTTTCCATGTTCATATGATCTGTTGTTCGATTTATGTCGTGGGTCTGAATTGCTTGCTGTGCTGTAATCTCTGCTTTGATTTTGCTACTATTTGTTAAACCCTAAATACATACTTCTCGGTGAGAATTTGTAATGTATCCATGATATTTCCGAAACCCTAGAATCCCCAGGCGATTGTGATTGAATCCTGAATTTTGCGGCCAAGCAATTTGAACCAGATCAGAGAGAGTTTTTAAGTTGGAGGCACAACACTGAAGTTCAGAAGGTGTTTAGGGTAGCGGCCCAGACTCCATGTTTGCTTGGTAGCTGCAGTTCAATGCGACATGCTCGTTCTCAGCGGGTGCTCTGTGCCTGCAGGGGAGAGTTGTCTGTTTCTCCACCTGGTTTGATGATCATTGCACCTGCATTTTCTCTTCCTTTGCATATACCGAGTCCTTCGAACTAATCTTGCTCTCTGAACTTTCCTTGGTGGGTTGCGTCCAAGGTGAGTCATGACTGTTAAGAGTAAAACCCATGGCGTTTAGGCTTTTGCAATCATGTAGCTATGAATGAGTGGACTTCTTCTTCTTCTTTGTATGGTTGAAAGAATGAATTTGATCCCACGACGAGAATGAAGTAGGAGAAAGAGTTGCAATCTTTAGGTCCAGCTTCCCTTGGTAGGGTTGGTCGATCCCTTCACCAATATCTTGTTCGCTAGCCTAGGGAGGTCGATTGTCTGAGTTAGATCATAATGGATCGAGGGTACAGTGCTTCCAGCATCATCTCCGAAGACATCTTTCCAGCACC